GGTTTTACTTACTGACCTACATGTCAAACATTCTCATTCTCAGACATGGATCAGTGAGAATTTAGTTTGAATATTTTGATCTGTGAATTGTACTGTGAGACAGTAAATATCAGAGGGACTGGGGAAGCCCATTTGGTTTGCTGTTCCTTGCCGTGAATGATGAAGGAGGGCAGAACAACCAGGTGAATAACAAAAGATAGCCCTTCCATCACAGGTCACTGTTTCATGTGAACAGTGAATGAGTTATAAGGTCAAGTTTTCAAGACCATTGCAGTTATCTAGTATTTACTAATTCATGATTTATATCGGGTTAATGTCACTGATGGCGATGCACAGAGATAGAGGGAAATCTCAAAGAGCATACACAATAGAGTCATAAACAACACAGGTACAGCTGCTATGGGCTCACATTTACCGTGAAATGACAAAAATGCATATCACTGCTTAGAGATCACAACACCCTTAACCCCTTCCCGACGGATGACGCCGATAGGCGTGAAAACAAATCGTTCGAAAGCTGGTGTGCGGCTGTATGCTGCGGCAAGCCAGTGATCTGGGTTGATGTACCGAACTCACACGCTGAAAGTCGGCGCGCCTCCACTGTTTGCCAGAGCGTAGAGGTTTTTTTTTCGTTTTCTTCACCCGTCACCATTGGTTTAACCCCTTGGTGCTGGGTGACGCCGATCGGCGTGTAAACAAAGAGCTCGAAAGCTGGCGTGCAGCCAAACGAGCCGGCGGCGCGCCAAAGCGCGGCGATCCAGTGATTCGGGCTGATGTCCCCTACTCACGCGCTCAAAGTCGGCTTTGTTTGCTTAAGCGTAGAGTTTTTTTTTGTTTTGTACACCCGGCGCCATTGGGTTAAGCAGCCTAAGTTCTTAATCTCGTGTTTGCTGTAAGCTGGCACCAAATGGGGTTACATGGGGAGGGGGCTTCCCCTCCCCCTGTCTATGGAGTAAACAGAAGGTAGGGAAAGTTAGGATTGGAGTTTAGGGTTCATGAAACCCTGTTCATGGGATAACATCTCTGGAGGTGCATCGCTCTGGGTAACAAATACCAGATGTAATAAATATATTTTCCTAAAAGAAAGACTTTCTATTGTAGAAAATAGAAATAACAAAATGCAAAAACATTCTTCAACAAATTAATTTCAAAACCTTGTTCACTTGATTAGATCAGTTTTTTTGTTCTTATTGAAATTCATTTAAAATAAATCATAAAACTAAATTAATTAAATCACCGTCCTTTAATTAATGGACTAGGAGTGTCCAATGCAAATGCATGTCTAATAAACATAGTAACACCAAGAGACACAGCTTTGCAATCACACAGAAACTTCGAACAAATAAAGGATGATTGTAAAATGTAATAATCAAAACTTACTTTTTTAGTTTAGACGAAATATTACGATATTGAACGAGATAATCATTTCCCACAATTGCTCCAGGTTCCATGACTGTTCCAGTAATATCGTGTAATTTGTGGTTTCTGTCAAATTTCCAATGAAATGCAAATTGCTATGCACAAAAAATAAACCAGAGACCATAGAATATTTAGAAAATGATCAAGGTTTTTTTTTCTATTATAAACAAAAGAGCTTTTGGTATCATATACAAAATTATGATATCTTTTATGACACTTTAAATTTCAGCCGTAACTTCGAGACGTAAACAAAACCGAAGCCGAAATCCGAAAGAAAATTTTCGAGTCGAATTTTCATCATTATTTGTGTAAGTAGTTAAGATAATCACTATCCATTCTTTAGAGGTTATAGAAGAATGAATGTACCAATGGGCTAAGTGGCTGGGAATTTAATATTTTCGTGAGAAAGGGTTACTTGAAGCATGTAGTATTGTCAAAATTTTAACATTATTGTCCGGACTCAAGAACATAAATATCAACAAGCGTGGATAATGGAAAAAATTGATAATTGATGTGATAACGTGCAACTAGAGCCAAACCATGGAAGGATCGTTCAAAAACAACACCTGGGAATCAATGTGGGACGGAAGAGAGAGAATGTTGCCTCGTATTTAACTGAAAAATAGGTCTCGCCCTACAGTGGCTTATGTGATGGGAAGTGTGGTAAATGTAGTAGGAACAGCGGTTTTCTAGCATAAGGTCCCTAATTGAGGTCAGAGATAGTCAGTGGTTTGATTCTAACAGATTTACTCCAAATTCTTGACTTATTCCAGGTGGTAATTGTAAAGTAGATGGTCAAGTTGAATTGCAGTATATATATATGTCAATCATGATGGGTGTGACATTGAAACATTATGTTAGTGTCAGATAATTTCATCGGCAATCTTAACATCAAGTATGGGTGCTGTTTTGTTATTATTAAGGAAGCAGTAACATAAAATAATACTATGAATGCACATTATTGACTTAAAGGAAATAAAGCCTTCTTTTGATTAAATTTGTTACAGTTATCAGATGTTTATTACTTTTGCCAATATTTTTAGAGATACCATTACACCCACCTTTTCAAGATTCATAGAAT